ATTTCTAGCACTGTTTGTGGTGTGTCTAGTCAAAACATTGAATTAAGTAACAAAAATAAAAGTGTGCATCTTTGCTTAGTTATTGTAATATAGATGGTGGGACGAAAGCTATTATTTAATTGATACTATATGGTTGACATAGTTGGTACTAAAGAAAATATTATGAAGACAATTGAAACCAATGTAATTATTATTTGTTTTAGAGAAATAGAAACTAAACTATGTTCTATATGTATAGTCACTTTTGCTTCACTCTGTACATAGATAAATGTGTTTAACATGAGAAATAAGCTTGTAAATGGCTTGGACATTTCAATGTATAACTGTTTTTTAAAGAAAACCTTGTTTTTGGTGATTTTAAGAAGTCTCTTCTGATTTGAAGTCACACAGCTAGTGAAGTGTACAAACAAAAGATGGATAGTTCATAAAACTGAAAATATGTTAAAAGCAAAAATAAGTGCAAGAAAGAAGAGTTAGAAATTTATTTATCCATACAGATTTTTAATTTTATTAAAATTTGACAGATTGATTTATTTTCCATAACATTTTCTAAAATAATTTTATTTCAATTTTTTTAGTGGCAGCAAAAGGAGAATCTGAACCCGAAAGGAAAGAGACAAGGTGTAAAGTAGATGAAGATAGAAAACATGAATATCCTTTTAACTTATTACCTTGTTTGTGGGCTGGAAGTTGCAAGTGGTTACATGTTATATTGATTATTTTAAAACTTTTGTTGTCAATAGTTTTTGAATATAGATTGTTTCTTGGAGCTTTATGCTTAATTTAATTCTGCACTTAAGTCAACTGCAGACTTCTTCATCAAACAATACACGCTCTTTAACTTCCTAAAACTTTTTGAAGTTAAAAAATGAAATATCCAGTTGTATTAGATAATTTTCACAAATTTTTTATTTCACGTGGTACTAATTTTATCCGCTACAAAATATAGGCCTTGAAAGTCTTATAGTTCATTTTTTATCTGTTAGGTAGCAATTCTTAAGGAATTATGTGAGAAAAGGATAAAAAAATTTCAAAATTTCCAGCAATCTTGTTTTTTTATTTGCTCTTGGGACTTTTTTGTATTCTCTTACATGTTGTATAACACATTCTTTTCTAAAACCTTTTATGTAGGTGGAACAGTTATTGGAATGACTTCACCGTGAATGTAGTAAAATTAAGTATTGCTTAGCCCTCTTCCCCCCTTTTTTATCTCCTGAGGTAAAGTTTTACTTTATCCATAGTAAATTACCTTTTCTTATCCAAATTATTTATAAAAAAAATATTATGTGATCTTTCTTTTTTGTTCTTCAAAAATGTGGTGAGAAACCATGAAGCTGCTCTGTTCGTATAGACTGGGTTTTGTTTGAAAGAAGTACATAACATTTAATACTTCAGGAACCCTTGCATGTTGTAAACATTCAAAATGTTAGCTTCTGGCCTCTTCTTGTTGTTGTTTTTTTTATGTGAGTGATATCTTAGGTCTTGATAACACTTCCTAAAGTCAAAAACAATTGTTTGAACTTTAAAATGAGTATCATGGTTTTCTCATATACTTCTTTAATAATAAATTGTTTCTGAAATAGCCAATTACAGTGAAATAAATCTTACATATGTATATTAAGAAAGCTGATTATGCAAGAAAAATTCTGAAAATGGAGTTATCTAGTTAGATTTAGCAATGAAAAAGCAGAAATATCATTAATTTATAAACCAGACATAACTCACTAGAAAATAGAAACCAACAACCTGATGCTGGGATCGCAAATATGGTATTTGTTTGTTTACACTTGAGATTTAATTACTACTTATGTTAATAAAATAAGAAAGTAATACCTTTGAATTTTCAATTAATGCATATGCACACACACAATTGTTTCATTTGATTGATTGCACTGACATCTGATAAAATGTCAAGATTTGATATGCAAACTCCCATTAAAAGTTATCATATTTACAATTAAGATATGCATTTATTGTAATGAAGAAAATTTCATAAACTGATAAACATTTTAACTGTTTTTATGCCTTGGTTGAGGTAATTAATATAGAAGGAAGTTTTTCTTGTGAAATAATTGTAAATCATAGAATATTATTCTACCCTTGCAATGATTGGATGAGAACACATTGTGTGGTAAGAAAGATTTTCATTGTTGCTTTGCCTCCCAGTTGCTCATCAGTATGTCAGTAGGCTGATAAAGCAAAAAATTGTGTTTCCATATCTGTTACTGGCAATGCATGGGTAGACCATTTTATAACTTTGTGCTTACAACAAAACACAATAATGTTGCCTCAAACCCCAAGCAGCCAATTGCATCAGTGTTGTTTGGGTGTCAAAACTGTTGCTATATGTGCATGACATTGCAGCAGAACTTTTCTTATGACAATTTTTTCCAGCAAAGTCAAAACATGTTGATTCTTTTAGCCCTAATTTACAAACATTGTCTGAAATTTTGCCAGTAGTATAGCCACGTTTTATGCTGGATATAGTCAGGTACATACTTTATACATTTGTTTTTATGGTCACATGATAATGATGGCTGTTACAATTTGAAAATGAAAAGGTTTCTATATTTTATTGATCTTTTATTGGTTCTTAAAATGAGATATTCAATAAAATGGTAACTTTGATATTTACATGTAGGCCCTGGGATGTAGGCTAAATATACAATGTGACAGTGCTAGTCAATCAGATTTTAGTAAAATTGAAACAAAAGAGGAGTAACATAAAACAACTATTGACTGAGGATTTTGGGCAATGATTATTTGTTGTCCTTGTAATCTGTCGATTACACTTCATTAAAACATATGCATCAAGATTATGAGTTTTTAAGTACATAATATTGTTTTTGTATAAAAGATGAAAGACATCTTTTCTTAAGTCAGAAACATTCATGTGTATATGAAATGTTTTGATAGTAAGTTCTGTTTGCATTATATTATAGATGATTTTTAAACCTTTAATTATTTCTGTCTAAATTTAAGAAAAAAATCTTAACAATATTCATGATTGAAGCTGCTATAGTGAGGATAATGAAGGCCAGAAAACGTTTACAACATAACGTTTTAGTAGCTGAGGTGAGTGTCTCATTTTATCTAATTATCTTTTCATTTAAGTCTTGGGCAGGTGTGCACCCCAGTGATTGAGAACCCAAGTGTTTATGGAATATCTGTGATAAATAGTACATAAAATTAAGGTAATAAATTTTGATATATTAAATGTTTTAAGCAAATTTACTGCACGAGAAATAAAATTAACCACATTTAGGTTTTTCATAACCAGCTGAATGTCACACACAAAAAAAAATTAATCTTAAGAAATAGACTTGAAATCAAATGTTTGCATTCCTTTTTGTTACATTTTTTTACAATATGTAATATATTTATTGTAATTTTTCCTCCCATTTTAAAAATCTTTGTTTATTCTATTTAAATAGTTTTTCAATTTCACAGGTCACTGAGCAGCTGAAGTCTCGGTTCTATCCCAGTCCAGTTGTAATTAAAAAGAGGATTGAAGGTTTGATAGAAAGAGAATACTTAGCTAGGACACCTGAAGACAGGTATGAATCATTTTATTTTAAATTTTATGATAGAAATACTGTTTTACACTTTCATAGTTACACAGTGCTAAATTTCAAATATGATATCAGTATTTTTAAACTTTGAGCTCTAAACAATTTATACAGTGGAACTTTACGTGTTCAGAAAAATTAATTTACTTATAAATAAACCACCATCTTCTCCATTTGATTACAGTAGACATGTAAAATAAAGTAGCAAGTGTATGATATGTTAAACTTTAGGTAATGGTGAATGAAATTGTTAAAATTTCATAAGATGTGTAATAAGACTTAAGTGTTCAAACTACAAATTTTAGTTGTTGTAGATTGTTTGCACTAAACAATTTTGTAGTCTTGTTCCTTTTTACTCCATGTTCTATCAAGTAAAATGTAGTAACTCTAAACAAGACTGCTATTAAAGTTGGTAACAGGTACGAGTTCTTTGTTTGTGTTTCATCACGACTAATAGTAAAGTTTAATTTATATAAACACTATAATTTGTAATTTTTAAAAAAGAATTACTTATTTAGTGAACCTTTAGTGAGAAATTTGTGGATACTAAGTGCTTGTTGCACTCTAGTAACTATTCTAAATATTTTCAAGTTGCTTTTTATCTCAAGTGCTGTGACTTAGAGGAATAAACATAGTTAAACTTAAAATCTTGTGACGTTTTTGAAGTTTCAATTATTGAAATGGGACTAAATATATTAATTTAGCTTTTTGATTTTTTTTCTAGGAAAATGTACACCTACGTTGCTTGAATAAATTGTTTAACCAAGGAAACTGATGGAAATTTTCAGGACAATATATTCCCTGGTAACCAGGGTAGGGACTACCTCCCAATTCCAGCTAAAAATGATTTGGTTGATAATTTAGGAGTTGGCTTTACCTCAGTATCCCTGTGGTCTAGCAGTTGTCTGAGCTAAGATCCAACACAGAATTGTTGATGTAGTGATTTATTGTAAGACTCAAATTTAGCCAAAATGCAAACAGATGTGACAAGTAGCTGGGATGCAAGCAAAGTTGGACATAGGGATATGTAGGTGTTGAGACAAAACTGTCCTCCATCATACTCCCATTGTAAAATACATTCATTACTACCTGTTGTTAAATTACAGTACCATTTGTTTCTTGTACAGAAGTGTGAATGCATTACTTGAGAATTTTTTTTTTCAGTAAAGTGCAACAGTCAGGTATGAACAAACTATCAGTCTGGTCTGAGAATCTCAAGATTTGGCAAATAATAGAAGAAAATTGTTATTAGGTACAACCTTCTTAACTTTTAAATAATATTAAGTAATGTCAACATAAATAAATAAAAGATTTAAGGTTCTCTGAACTGCTTTTTTAGTTTATTTTTGCAACATAGAACAGTATGGTAAATACTGAAATAATTTTATCTCATGTCAAAATTTTCTGGCAGAGCTTGCGAGTTTCTAAATTAAGTTCTTAAGAAAATTGTTAATTTTCTAGTATCTGTGGCTTGTATGTTTCAATTATTTAATCAGAAACTTTATCTTACAAACGTTTTTTTTTTGTTGTAACATCACCCCCTTTGAAAGCTCCCTAACTTTATAAGTGTTCAGGCTTGAATCGGTACCATTTGTTTCTTGTACAGAGATGTGAGTGCATTACTTGAGAAGTTTTTTTTGTTAAAGTGCAACTGATCAGGTGTGAACAAAACTATCAGTCTGGTCTGAGAATATCCAGACTTGCAAAATAATAAAATAAAGTGGAAAGAAGTAAAAGAAGTTTTCTTGTTATTAAGTACAACTCCTTAACTTTTCAATAATATTAAGTCATTTCATCATAAATAAGTAAAACATTTAAGGTTCTCTGAGCTGCTTTCTTAAATTATACTTATAACATAGAACAGTATGATAAATACTGAAATAATCTTGTCATGTCAAAATTTTCAAGCAGGACTTGTGACAGTTTCGAAATTAAGGTTTTTATGAAAATTATTAATATACTAGTATCTGTGGCATGTATGTTTAAATTATCAGAAACTTTTTTTTTTACATGACAACTGTTGCACCCTAAGAAAGCTTTCTAACTTTATAAGTGTTCAGACTTGAATTAGTAAGACTAAGAAATAAAATGATTTGAAACCCTCTTGTCATTGAGATTCTATTTCTTTCTCTGAAACACCTTTTTTTAGGGGGGTTATTGTTTTGATTTTTTTAAAATAAGGAATAAAAACTATTACTTTATATTGGCATCATCTAATGTTCCAACACTATATGTTCACATTATTAACTGTCACTTTATTTTTAAGTATGAAATAATTAATTGTTCTATAAAAATTAAAATATACATTAGAGTATAGAATTCTACTATCATTAGGAAAAAATGCATGTTATACACACTGATAATGCCACGTATTAATTTTTTTTATTACATCTAAGACTAAGTATAATATATTTACATCT